GTCCTCTCCAGAAATGTAAGCAGGAAGCCCCTTTCAGGAACCTTCGAGGCTGGGGAGTGGAAATGGCTGGGCTCAGCCTCTCGTCAAATGACTGGGGGCCCGTAACCGGCCCCACACCAGGCCCTGCACTGGCAGGGCCTCCAGTGGTGCGGGGCCCACACTAACTTTCTCTTTCCTTTTTCTGCCTTCCAAGGAAATCTGCTCCAAAGAAATCTAAGGCCGATGGTCAGTGAGAGGAAGCTGACCAGCCCCTGGATTCTTCTCCAGAACCCCCTGCTTCAGGAACACCCGCCAGGGCCCACCCCTCCCGCCCCGTCCCGGCATTCGCACTTCACCCTCGCGAGCCGTTGTTCACTCCTCTCCCCTTTCTCTTTCTCTCTGTTTTTAAAATAATCTAAAGAAAGCACATTTTACCATTGCTGTTGGGAGGAAGCAGAGGCAAATGGGAAAGCAGAGAGAAGAGCGCGCTTCCTTTCCTCCCTGCTGCTGCCCACCCTGGGGAGAGACCTTTGCGGGGAGGGAAGGCGGAGCTGAGGACAGCCAGCTCCGCCCTCCCAAGGCTGTGCGTTCCTGAGGGCCAGGTCGGGGGCGGGCATGGAGTGAGGAAAGGCACTCCTCTTGGCCCTCCCCAGAGTGGCTTTCCCAGCACCCTGGCCTGGGTGTCTGGTTCTGTTTTCTTTTCTTCCCCTGTGTTTCCAGTCACCTAACTTCCCTTCCTCAGGCTCCCCCGGCCCGCCCTGCTCAGTGACCCCACAGGAAGCTTACACATTTTCTCAGAGGCCTTTGTGCTCCCACCTCTTCTACCCTCCCCCTCTTCTTTCCCGTTTTAAAAAAGAAAAGAAGGAAAAAGAAAAAAGGGGCAAGGAGCCCCGTGGCGGCCTGGGCAGCGCCTGTGCAGACCTCCCTGCAGGCCGCACTGCCAACTGCTGCATTTGTTGTGTTTTTTAGGTTGAAATTGGTGAAGTTCACACTTTCATTGTAATTTTAGCGTGTGGGGTTTTGTCCCTTTTTTCTTGTTGTTAGCTGTGTACAGAATGTGTAATCTTTTTTCTTTTTTTTGTTTTTTTGTTTTTTGTTTTGTTTTGTTTTTGTTTTTTTATTTTTTTCTTCTTGGCTAATTCTTGGCAGGGATCTTTCTGGAGGAAAAGCTGGGGCCAGCCAGGGCAGGAGAGGTGTGAAATCTGCTACGTGGGGCCTGCTGTTTGCCACCCAGCCCAACTTCCTGTTGCTGGCCCCTGCCCTCTGCCCTTTTGCCTGTCCTCAGGCCGCTGGAACAAAGGAAGGACAGCTCATTCCTCATGGGCGATCACTCCGCACATCTATAGGGTCGAGGCCGGGGGAGCTTGAGGGAGGGCTGGGGCCTCCTTGTCCTGGGTTCCCAGCTCTCCCCCTGCCCGCTCCCTGAGCACCACCGGTACCGCCTCCCACACAGGGCTGCTGCTTTCCGCAGGCACTGCTCCACCTCCCCCAAATTGTCATGGAAAGGGTGGAGAATGGAGGGGAACCAGGCGTCCTTGGAGGCAGCCCAGGAGGGCAACTGTAATGTCACCCACAAGGGAGGCTAGGGCAGTGGAGCAGGCCGCCAGCAGCAGCTACCCAGGCCAGCCTCCATGGCTGGGGGATCTGTTTGGAGTTTTCTGCCCCCGACCCTGAACTTCCGTCGAGGAGCAAGGCTTGCCAGCAAGTCAGAAGGATTTAAACTGAGCAGCCAGTCTTTCCAGCCCTCCCCCACCGACCTCTGCCTGGAGATGCAGCAGCCTGTGTCCTCCAGGACCTCTGGTTTGTTGTATTATAGTATATTTCGCTGTGGAAAATGTCACGTTTAGTCACCTTGGAGCCCACTCACCTGGTCCTGTTGTTTTACCCCATCCCTTCTCTCGCGCGCCTATTGATTTGTTTCTGAGGAGAGTACACCGTTCACTATTGTAGAGTAACCCCTGTGACTCAATATTACCATAGTGCGATGTCGTTTTGTGCTATTTTGAACAATTAAAAGACTTTTTTTGAAATAACCACTAGGTGTCTCACTGTGTCCCGGCATCCTCACAGGAGGCCTCAGCAGGAAGGCTGAGACCTGCCCTGGGCTCACGGGAGCCCCCTGGAGGGGAACCTGAGCTCTGGTGAAAGTGTAGAAGGCCCCAGAGTGAGGCCCCTGCTGTGGCCTGCAGTCTTTGGACTAAGTCGGACCAGGTTCCAGCAGGTTGCTTGGCAGCTGCCTTGCAGGGGGCAAGGGCCAAAGGATCCCTTGGGCAGTTGCTGCTGACTTCCTGTATCTGGGGCCAGATCTCCCTCCCTTCCTCCCCTCCTATACTAGAGGATAGGATGGGGCAAAGGCCTGACAGGTCACCAGCGGCAGCCTCCTTGGGTGGGTTTGGGGGTAGGTGGGCTGAGTCAAGTACACCATGGGTACTGCAGAGGTGGATCCCTTCCTCTGGCTTCCTCTTACATGTGAGCCATGCCCCCAAGGGGAAGAAGCAGAGCTTGTGATCCAGACTGACCACCTAGTGGCTGGGTCGGTGGGACAACTGGGATCCTGTGGGCTGAATTTGTACCAGGAGGCCCAGAAAGCCCCGGGGCAAGGCGGCCGGAGCAGCATAGGCCTAGACGAGTCCGAGGGGAGTGACATCCCGCTTCTGGGGCCTGGTGCTCCTGGTGCACCTGTATTCCCTGCCCCCTCAAAGCCCCCCGCCTCCTGCCTTTGTTTCCCCCACACACCTCTACTGCCCAGTCTTCTTCAGAGCACCCAGGCACTCTGCTACCAGAAGCTCCCGGAGTAACAAAAGCCTCCGAGTCTCCATCTGTGGCATGGGTGTGTGTGCAAGGCCCTGTCGAATGCGACCTCTTCTGGGAAGCCTCTGTCATGTGGGGTGTGCTGTGTCATGTGGGGGCGGGGAAAGCAGACTGGCCAGGGCTTGACACCGGGAGCCGTGGCTCTGTCTTACCCACTGCAGCAACTGTGACCTGCCTTGGAGCCTAGCCTTGCAGAGGCCTAAGGAGAGGGGTGGGAAAGTGTCCTTTAGAGCAGAGTGGTAGGAGTCATGGCTGGGGCTGGTGGAGGCCAGGGGCCACATGGGGCTGGCCCCAGAACCGAGGGGCCTTGCGGATTTGCCATACCTTTGGCAAATGACTTTTTGGGCGCTTTGCCTGGTGGGGGTGATACAAGGGTTCTTCCCACCCCACTCCTGTAGCTGGCACCTGCGGGGATACCCACCCTCTGCCTGCCTTCAGCTCACCTGTCTCACCGCGGCTGCATCACACTCCAGAAGGCAAGGGCCACATCAGCCATGCCTCTGGTGTTTATCTGAAAATACCGAGTTTCCGTCTGAGGGCACCACTCAGCCTGGGGAGGCAGGAGGGAGGCTGGACATGAACATGACAGGCCTGTGAGCAGGGCAGGTAGATACTTTGTGCCCAGCTGGGCACAAAGCTCATCCCCTGAGCATGAGCCAAGGCCGAGGATGGGTGCGAGCACACAGAGGATGCCTCCCCAGCTGCCAGGGGCGTCAGCCTCATTACCAAGCACCCCGAAGGGGAACTGTTTGGGGTTGGATGGGTCAGCCTGCAGCAGGGACTGAGACAGTCACTGTGGCATCAAAGACCAGCAGTGCAGCACCACGCCCAAAGGCTGGAACCATTCTGTGGGCTGTTGGCCTGGAAGGTAGGGAACAGCTCAGCCCAGCTGCCTTGTAGCATCATCGGGTCAGTCATAGAGCTACAGACAGATTTGGGCAGCTGGAAAACAGGCCCAGAGAAGGGGGGTGTGGGCTCACCTGCAGTTACTGTCTGGCCTTAGAGCTGTGTCACTTGTGTAAAGAAGTCAGTGCCGAGGCCAGGTGCGGAGGCTCACACCTGTAATCCCAGCACTTTGGGAGGCCGAGGCAGGTGGATCACAAGGTCAGGAATTTGAGACCAGCCTGGCCAACATGGTGAAAACCTGTCTCTACCAAAAATACAAAAAAAAAGAAAAGCCGGGTGTGCTGGCAGGCGCCTGTAATCCCAGCTACTCCAGAGGCTGAGGCAGGAGAATTGCTTAAACCCAGGAAGCAGAGGTTGCAGTAAGCCAAGATTGTGCCACTGCACTCCAGCCTGGGTGACAGAGCAAGACTCCATCTCAGTAAAAAGAAGTCAGCGCCAATGGCTCCCCATTACTGACTGTTGAGGTAGTTGGTGACAAACTGATTCAAAAGAGAGGACTTGCTAGGCTGGGTGCGGTGGCTCATGCCTGTAATCCCAGCACTTTGGGTGGCTGAGGCAGGAGTATCGCTTGAGCTTAGGAGTTCGAGACCAGCCTGGGCAACATTGCAAAACCCTGTCTCCACTAAAAATACAAAAATTAGCCAGGCGTGGTGGCACACAACTGTGGTCCCAGCTACTCAGGAGGCTCAGGTGGGAGGATCGCTTGAGCCTGGCAGGTTGAGGCTGCAGTGAGCTGCCTGGGCGACAGGACACTATCTCAAAAAAAATAAATAAAAGAAAAAGAAAAAGAAAAAAAAAGCTTGCCTCTTGTCTACCCTATGTGGTGACAGGTCAGAGGGACCTGCATTCAGGCCCACTAGCTGTTCCCTGTCCTGCTGCCCTACAGGCTTGGTAGGGCCAAGGCCCTCAGCTGCCCTGCCTGGGCCCCTGACACATTAGGGGGCACATTAGAAGGGCACATTAGGGCCCCTCTCCGGGCTCCCTTAAAGGTAGCTGGTGTAGGGCGGGGTGGGTGGCAGCCCCGTTTCCCCTTCCCCCTCATCCCAGACCGTCCGGCCAACCCAGCTTTTCCCACCAAGCAGGATCTTGAGACCAGGGCACCCAGCAGGGGCCCTGGCGGGACTGGCCCATTTTAGGGGAGGGTCGCGGCAGGAACAAGCGCGGGGGCGGGGCCTCAAAGCCCCGCCCCCAGGCCCAGCGGAACCTGAAGAGGAGGGGGTGGGTGAGCCGGGCGCGGCTCTGTCAGCTGAGTGACAGTCACGGGACCGCGACCAACTCTGTCTGGCTTCCTAAAGGAGAGGGAGGGATGAGCAAGGGTCTCCGAGCGCGGCGGGCCAGTGGTGGGGTGCGTGCAGGCAGTCCTGCCTTGGAGGGTCCCGGGGATGGTGACGTCTGAAGCCCCGTGCAGAGGTGGGGGGATCCCCGAGGGCTGGTTCCCGAGGCTGGGGGGCCGAGGTCCCATGCTGGGGCTGCGCCTTCAAGCCCCAGTTCCCCTAGGACATGGAGAAAGAGCGAGAGACTCTGCAGGCCTGGAAGGAGCGCGTGGGGCAGGAGCTGGACCGTGTAGTGGCGTTCTGGATGGAGCACTCCCACGACCAGGAGCACGGGTACTTGGCAGCTTCTGGAGTCCTCGGCAGGGTTTTTGCCCTTCCTAAGGCCCCTCCTTACTCTCAGGCACCTCACAGATTTGCTGACCCCGGAGGGGCAGGAGGGGCTGGCAAGGCCCCTTCCAGACTTTGCTAATCCCGCGTTCCCACAGGGGCTTCTTCACGTGCCTTGACCGCGAGGGACGGGTGTATGATGACCTCAAGTACGTGTGGCTGCAGGGGAGGCAGGTACGGTGTTCCCAGCCTGGAAGCTTCAGGCACACGGCCCATCGCCTCAAAGGTCTCCCCACCTCACCCCAGCCGGCCGCTTAGGCCACGTTCCCTCCCGTACCCCGCAGGTGTGGATGTATTGTCGCCTGTACCGCACTTTCCAGCGCTTCCACCACTCTCAGCTTCTGAATGCAGCAAAAGCAGGTGCTCCCTTCCTGCCCATCTCCCAGTGACTCTGTCCATGTTTACGCAACAGGGCACATGTGCGGAGTTCCTAGAGGGGTCTAGAAGCAGGAATGGACTGGGGAGGCTCAAGGGTGGTGTGTGTGGAGCGTCCTGGCCTTACTCCTGGCATGCCAACCCCCCAACCTCCAGGTGGTGAGTTCTTGCTGCGTTATGCCCGGCTGGCACCTCCTGGAAAGAAGTGTGCCTTTGTGCTGACTCGGGACGGCCGTCCGGTCAAGGTGCAGCGGACCATCTTCAGCGAGTGTTTCTACACCATGGCCATGAACGAGCTGTGGAGGGCCACAGGGGAAGTACGGTACCAGGTGTGTGAGAGGACGGTGTCCCTGAAGACCCCACCCTGGGACCCTGCCATGGCCACCTGATGCATTCCCACTCACTACGCAAGTCCACTGCCATGGACCCATCTGTGGGCCAAGTCCCCTTCACCTCTGAACACTCCCTTACACCCACAGGGGCGCAGACAGAGAGGGCTCTATCAACGCCCTGCCCCCAGCTGGGAAGAGGCCCCTCCCTCCTCCCTGGGCTCCCTGTGCTTCCAGACCTTGACACCACAGCCTGGAAGGGACTGCACCCCCAGACTGGGAGCCCCCAAGGCAGAGTGGGCGGATCTGCCTGGTCCCTACTGGACGCCGGGTGCCAGGCCCCAAGTAGGCCCTGGGTGAACGTGTCTCTGGGGTTCAGGAGAGGAATTGACTCTCTCATCCCAAGGCTGTGTCCTGGGGGATGGGACAGGATGTAGCCTCAGCCTGGGCCTCCCCTCGCCTCCTGCACTCCCAGACGGAAGCCGTGGAGATGATGGATCAGATCGTCCACTGGGTGCGGGAGGACGCGTCAGGACTGGGCCGGCCCCAGCTCCAGGGGGCCCCGACTGCGGAGCCCATGGCGGTGCCCATGATGCTGCTGAACCTGGTAGAGCAGCTTGGGGAGGCAGATGAGGAGCTGGCAGGCAAATACACAGAGCTGGGGGACTGGTGCGCCCGGAGGATTCTGCAGCACGTGCAGGTGGGGGATGCCTGGGGAGCTGGGGTGGTGGGAGGCCCTCCACTCCCCCACTCCCCTGGGTGCTCTGGGGCTTGACACACCTGGAGAGACAGAGATTCGGGGAGGTCCCCACCTGGGGAAGGTGGAGGGCCTGAAGGCTGGCAGGAGGGTGTGGAGCCCCAGGCAAGGCCTGACAGAAGGAGACCCCTGCCCCACCCAAGTCCCTAAGTCCCTTCCAGGCCTCTGGGCTGTGAAACCCGCCCTGTCTGTCCCCATTCAATGTTTCACCCTCCTCTGCTGGAGAGGATCGGGCCAGAAGCGAGGATTACAACTTCCTAGGCCCTGGCTGGACTCGGTGGCTCCTGGCTGTAAACCCAGCACTTTGGGAGGCTGAGGCGGGCGGATCACTTGAGGTCAGGAGTTCGAGACCAGCCTGGCCAACATAGTGAAACCCCGTCTCTACTAAAAATACAAAAATTAGCTGGGCGTGCTGGTGCATGTCTGTAATCCCAGCTACTAGGGAGGCTGAGGCAGGAGAATTACATGAACCCAGGAGGTGGAGGTTGTAGTGAATCGAGATTGCGGCCTCTGCACTCCAGCCTGGGTGACAGAGCAAGACTCTGTCTAAAAAATGAAAAAACAACTTGCTAGGCCCAAGGGAGTGAATCGGCCCCTCCTCAAATGCCCCTCTGAGCCTGGCCCACCGAAGCCAGCAGGTCCAGGGGCTTGGGTGAGAGGGAGGGAGGAAGGGATTTCTGGGGCTGGGTCTTTCTAGTTGGGTGGCTGGGTGGGTGAAAGGGCTGGAGGCAACATTCCCTTCTGCTGCCTCCCGGTAGAGGGATGGACAAGCTGTGCTGGAGAATGTGTCAGAGGATGGCAAGGAACTTTCTGGCTGCCTGGGGAGACAGCAGAACCCAGGTGAGCGGCAGGGTAGGCTGGGGGCCACCCAGGAGGAGGGGAACACTGAGCCTTGTGTTCTGGGCTTCAGATGTGGGGAGTGCCTGGGGGGACGCCTTGAGGAGGCAGAGGAGAGAGGATGGGCTTCCGGAGGCTGGGGATTTCTGCAGAGGAGCAGGCTTCCAGGGCCAGGGAGCTCAGAACCTTGCTCACTGTTAGGGAGGGAGCAGAGAGGTGCCAAGGGCTTTTGCTCCCTCTGTCCCCTGCCTCAACCCCAACCCCACTCTTCCGTACTCCAACCCTCACCAGGCCACGCACTGGAGGCCGGCTGGTTTCTGCTCCGTCATTGCATTCGGAAAGGCGACCCTGAACTTCGAGCCCACGTGCTTGACAAGTTCCTGTTGTTGCCCTTCCGCTCCGGATGGGACCCTGACCATGGAGGCCTCTTTTACTTCCAGGATGCTGATGACTTCTGCCCCACCCAGGTGGGAGAGCACCCAGGGCCATGTGTGACCCACGCTGATCTAAGGCTTTCTGCCTGGGGAGGTGGGTGCTTCTCTAGAGGGTAACCTGGGGCTGGATTGGAACCTAAAGGCCTGCTCTCAGCTTCTGTGCCAGTGTTACAGGAAAGGGGTTGTGATCCAGACCCCAGAAGAGGGTTCTTGGATCTTGCGCAAGAAAGAATTCAGGGCGAGTCCGCAATGCAAAGTGAAAGCAAGTTTATTAAGAAAGTAAAGGAATAAAAGAATGGTTACTCCATAGGCAGAGCAGGCCTGAGGGCTGCTGGTTGCCTTTTTATTTTTTATTTTTATTTAATTTAATTAATTTATTTATTTATTTGAGGTGGAGTTTTGTTCTTGTTGCCCAGGCTGGAGTGCAATGGCGCCATCTCGGCTCACTGCAACCTCTGCTTGCTTCCCAGGTTCAAGCGATTCTCCTGCCCTAGCCTCCCAAGTAGCTAGGATTACGGGCATGGGCCACCATGCCCGGCTAATTTTGTATTTTTAGTAGAGACGGGATTTCTCCATGTTGGTTAGGCTGGTCTCGAACTCCCGACCTCAGGTGATCCAACCACCTCGTCCTCCCAAAGTGCTGGGATTACAGGCAAGAGCCACCGCACCCAGCTGGTTGCCCATTTTTATGGTTATTTATTGATGATATGCTAAACAAGGGGTGGATTATTCATGCCTACCCTTTTTAGACCGTATAGAGTAACTTCCTGATGTCGCCATGGCATTTGTAAACTGTCATGGCATTAGTGGGAGTATAGCAGTGAGGACCACCAGAGGTCACTCTCATGGCCACCTTGGTTTTGGTAGGTTTTGGCTGGCTTCTTTACTGCAGCCTGTTTTATCAGCAAGGTCTTTATGACCTGTATTTTGTGCTGACCTCCTATCTCGTCCTGTGGCTTAGAATGCCTCAACCGTCTGGGAATGCAACCCAGTAGGTTTCAGCTTCATTTGACCCAGCTCCTATTTAAGATGGAGTTGCTCTGGTTCACACACCTCTGACACCAGTGCTCCCCAGTCCCATGTCATATGGAAGCCACCAGGGAGCTGGTGAAACGCCGATGCTCAGACGTATATGCCATTCGTCTGGAGCCCTGGTGTCTATGCAAGGATCTACAGGTCAGGAAGCTGATGTCACTGGGAGGGGTCCTTCAGAACCTCCAAAGATGTCCCAATTCACCGCCAGTAGCTTGGGTCAATGGAGACACAGCCAGGTCTGGAAAGTTGGGGAGGGGAGTGTCCTGCTGAGATGCCTGCCCCTGCTCTCCCCTCAGCTGGAGTGGGCCATGAAGCTCTGGTGGCCACACAGCGAAGCCATGATTGCCTTCCTCATGGGTTACAGTGAGAGTGGGGACCCTGTGCTGCTGCGCCTCTTCTACCAAGTGGCTGAGTACACCTTCCGCCAGGTGAGCGCTGCCTCCTTCTCCCCTCTAGAGGCTGAATGGGGTAATGGGGGGAGTCTGGCCAGGCTGTGCTCTTGCCCCCTTGCTGAGCACAGTCGCTCAGCTGGTCTGAGAGTTTCTGGAGCCCCAGTGCTGTTCGTTCAGTCAACAAAGAAGCCCCTGTCGTCCTAGAGCTCAAATTTTGGTGGTGGGGGCCGGGAGAGCAGACTGTTAGCAAGCAGACCTAGGTGGTGGTGAGAGTGACAGCTGTGGGAATAATACCACTGGAGAGGGTTGTGGGGGGCTCTTACCTATGGGGTGGCAACGGGGAAGCACTGAACAGGGGCCAAGTCAATCAGGGGTGTGTCTGAGGGACTGGGAGTCTGGGCATGTGGCACAGCAGGGGGGCCTGGCAGCCTGGAAGGATAAAGGCAGAGTCGGCAAGGGATGGACTCCAGCTGCCTGGTCTGATTCCACTGTTACCTGGGTCCTGGGGTTTGGAGCGGGAGGGTGTTATGGGGGAAGCCTGTAGGGTATAGGGCAGAAACTGGGACAGCAGAGGAAGCTGTAGCTGTCATCCCAGCCAGTGAGGGCTGGCCCAGGTGGGAACTGGTGGGGACAGAGGGTTCAGAGTCTGGTGGAGCAGCAGTGGGATTCCTGAGTCTCTAGTTCAGATGGAGAGATCTGGACTCACCATGAATGTTTTCAATATCATAAGAATGTAGATGCTGCCTGGCACAGTGGCTCATGCCTATAATCCTAGCACTTTGGGAGGATGAGGCGGGAGGATCACTTGAACCCAGGAGTTCAAAACCAGTCTGGGCAACATAGTGAGACCTGGCCTCTACAAAAAATTTTTAAAAATTACCTGGGTGTGATGCACACCTGTACTCCTAGCTACTCAGGAGGCTGAGGCAGGAGGACTGCTTAAGCCCAGGAGTTTGAGGCTGCAGTGAGTTATGATCACACCACTGCACTCCAGCCTGAGCTAGGCAACAGAGCAAGACTATGTCTCAAAAAAAAAAAAAAAAAAAAAGGCCGGGCGTGGTGCCTCATGCCTGTAATCCCAGCACTTTGGGAGACTGAGGTGGGCAGATCACCTGAAGTCAAGAGTTCAAGACCAGTCTGGCCAACATGGTGAAACCCCGTCTCTCAAGACCAGTCTGGCCAACATGGTGAAACCCTGTCTCTACTAAAAATACAAAAATTATCCAAGCGTGGTGGCAGGAGCCTGTAATCCCAGCTACTTGGGAGGCTGAGGCAGGAGAATCGCTTGAACCCAGGAGGCAGAGGTTGCAGTGAGCCAAGATCGCACCATTGCGCACTCCAGCCTGGGGAACAACAGCAAGACTTGGTCTCCAAAAAAAAAAAAAAAAAAAAAAAAAAGAGTACAGATGCTGCTGAGATCTATGAGGCAAAAAGGGAAATGGAGGCCCAGCAAAGGAGACAGGAATCAGTGGTGACGTAGGAAGAAGACCAAACCAGGGGCCCCCTGAGGCCCAAGCGCTAGGAGCAGAGTGATAAGCTGTCCTGACTGCTGCCCAGGAGGCACCTCGAGCTGCTGAACGCAGGAAAGGACATGGCACCCAGTGGTGGCAAGGCCTGGGTGGTGAATGAATGAAGATTCATCATGTGTTTCTAAAGCCACGACTCCGACTCCACTGGTAAACCCTGGTACTGGGAGGACTATAGCAGGGGATCTTATTCTGGGGTGTGTGGGCTTCGAAACCGGGGGCGGAGAATCACATCTGTATTTGTACTAACCTCTAACGGAAACTAGCATTTGCTTCCATTATGAGTGGAGGCAGTGAACCACATTGGTAATAGAAGTGCCTGGCTTTGTCACCGATAGAAATCCCAGATGTGTTTATATTGCATTGCAGTTAGAGAGACATCTGCAAGTATCACATATGCTCATCACTACTTCCAAACCACCAGGGTTGTTAGACCTGCAGCTATATCTTAATATTTAATACATTCATAGAGTATGTATTAGGGGCCACCAGTTATAACTCAAAAATGAAATAATAAGATATAGATGACATTAAACAATTACAAAAGCTATGATTAACAGGTAAATCGGCTGGGTATGGTGGCTTACACCTGTAATCTCAGCACTTTAGGAGACGGAGGCGGGTAGATCACCTGAGGTCAGGAGTTCTGGACCAGCCTGGCCAACATGGCGAAACCCCGTCTCTACTAAAAATACAAAAATCGGGCTGGGTGCCTTGGCTCACGCCCATCATTCCAGCACTTTGAAAGTCCGAGGCAGGCGGATCACTTGAGGTCAGGAGTTCAAGAACAGCCTGGCCGACATGGTGAAACCCCATCTCTACTAAAAATACAGAAAATTAGCCAGGCGTGGTGGCAGGTGCCTGTAATCCCAGCTACTCAGGAGGCTGAAGCAGGAGAATCACTGGAACCTGGGAGGTGAAGGTTGCAGCGAGCTGATATCACGCCACTGCACTCCAGTCTGAGCGACAAGAGCGAAACTCTGTCTTAAAAAAACAAAAACCGGCCGGGCGCTGTGGCTGAAGCCTGTAATCCCGGCACTTCGGGATGCCAAGACGGATGGATCACGAGGTCAGGAGATCGAGACCATCCTGGCTAACACAGTGAAACCTCGTCTCTACTAAAAAATACAAAAAACTAGCCGGGCGAGGTGGCGGGTGCCTGTAGTCCCAGCTACTCGGGAGGCTGAGGCAGGAGAATGGCGTGAACCCGGGAGGCGGAGCTTGCAGTGAGCTGAGATCCGGCCACTGCACTCCAGCCCGGGCGACAGAGTGAGACTCCGTCTCAAAAAAAATAAAAATAAAAATAAATAAAAACCAAAAAACCAACCAACAAACAAAAAAACCCAGGTAAGTCATTATGCATCAACCAACATAACAGAATCCAGAAGGCGAAATTCCAGACATTGACTCTTTACCTTCCTGTGTCATGTCAAGTAGTCAAAAAAGAAGTAAGGACTTGAACAATGTAATTCAAAAGATAGAACGAATACACACAGAACTAGTATTATTTATTTATTATTATTTTTTTTATTTTTTTGAGACAGGGTCTCTATCGCCCAGACTGAGTGCAGTGGCACGATCATGGCTCACTGCAGCCTCAACCTCCTGGGCTCAAGCGATCCTCCCACCTCAGCTGCCCAGGTAGCTGGGACTACAGCTGTGTACCATCACACCCAGCTAATCCTTTAATTTTTTTTTTTGTATAGATGGGGTCTCACTATGTTTCCCAGGCTGGTCTTAAACTCCTGGACTCAAGTGATCCTCCCGCCTCGGCCTCCCAAAGTGCTGGGATTACAGGCGTGAGCCACTGTGCCCAGCCCAGGACTAGTTTTACTTCCTACGAAGAAGAATACACCAACTCTTATGGGCCACCATTTAAAGAGACATTTTCATACTGGACTTCAATGTAATTGATTCCATGATCCTTTTGAGAAGAGGCTCAACTGACAAGCCTCCCTGAGACAGGTGCCCCAAGGAATGCTAGTGGAGAGAGAAGGAAAGAGAGTGGAATGGGCACTGGGCAGGGGCAGACGGAGGACGAGATGCATTTGGGACCAATGGTGAGCCAGGACAGGAGTCAGATAAGATTGTACATCTACTGGAAGACAGGCCTGTGAAGCTGGGAATGGGAGCGCCAAGGGAGTCACTTCTTAAGGGTTTCATGACAGGTCGTTGCCTCCGTCAGGGTTCTTTGTTTCTTTAAATCAACGTAACCACCACTACAATCACGATAGAGAACCTTTTTCTTTCTTTCTTCTTTCTTTCCTTCCTTCTTTCTTTCCTTCCTTCCTTCTTTCTTTCCTTTCTTTTCTTTCTTTCTTTCTTTGAGATGGAGTCTTGCTCTGTCACCCAGGCTGGAGCGCAATGGCGTGATCTCAGCTCACTGCAACCTCCGCCTCCTGTGTTCAAGCGATTCTCCCGCTTCAGCCTCCCGAGTAGCTGGGATTACAGGTGCGCCACCACGCCCAGCTAATTTTGTGTTTTCAGTAGAGATGAGGTTTCACCATGTTGTCCAGGCTGATCTTGAACTCCTGACCTCAGGTGATCCGCCCGCCTCGGCCTCCCAAAGTGCTGGATTTCAGGCGCGAGCCACAGCGCCTGGCTTGATAGAGAACGTTTCTACATCCCAGGGCAGGGTTCTTTCATTCCATCTAGCAGTGTCTCGTCCCCTTACCCAGTCGGTTATATAGTTGTAGCCTGCTTGCTGCGCCCACCCCTGCTTTCATCTTTGTGGAGGACGCAGTGTCGCGGTTCAGATCGCTGGTTCTGGAGCCATGTTACCTGGGATCAACCCAGGCTCTGACCCCTGGTAGCGATGCAGTGGCATCTGGGCGGTTCCTGCAGGCGCTAGCTGTCACTGTCTCTGTTATTCCAGTTTCGCGATCCCGAGTACGGGGAATGGTTTGGCTACCTGAGCCGAGAGGGCAAGGTGGCCCTCTCCATCAAGGGAGGTCCTTTCAAAGGTGAGTGGGGGGCGGCGGGGCCGCAGGGGTTGCGCCTCTCGGCTGCCCCCGGCCCTCACTACCTGCCCGCCTCCACCCGCAGGCTGCTTCCACGTGCCGCGGTGCCTAGCCATGTGCGAGGAGATGCTGGGCGCCCTGCTGAGCCGCCCCGCCCCCACGCCCACGCCCGTCCCCACCCCCGCCCGTCGAGGCGCGGAATAAAGGCTGAGTCTGCTCCACCTGCGGCTGTGCGCGTGTCTGTGGGCTCGCGGGACTGGGGCTGCGGCGCCGAGGGAGGGGCCTGCTCCAGCTCCGGGGCAGCGCCTGCCCCGCCCCCAGGCCCGCCCCGCGCTGACCGGCTGCGCGCATTGGCCCGCCCCGCGCGCTGGCCTGTCCCGCGCATTGGCCAAGCGGCCGGGAGGACGGGCCCGGCGGCCGTGCACTTCCGGCCGGTGGCCGGCCCGGCACGCACCGCCCCTTCCGCCACCGCCCAGCGAGCCGAGCCCCGGTCCCAGCCCCGGCCGTCCCGGCGTCGCTTCGGAGCGCGGCGGCAGCTGACTGCGCCTTCACGATCCGCTGGGACCCGCGAGCCCCGCCGCCGTTATGAACATCCGCAATGCGAGGGTGAGCGCCCGGGGCGGGAGGCTGTCCGCGCCGCGTGGGCGCCGGGCCCGGTGGCTGCTGCGCATGCTCCCGAGGGCCCTGGCCGAGCCCGGCCCGGTGGCCCTGCGTGTGCCTGCGGCCGCTGGACCTATGGGGCTGGCCCAGCCCGCCGAAGAGGCCGGGGCGCGGGGCCGGGGCTGCGATTCCCTCCTGTTTGCATGATGTCGGGCCTTCGTTGGGTGGGCTCCGGGGACCTCCGGGCGCCCACTGCTGTTCCTGTGCTCTGGACGTTGTGCAAAGTCAGATCGTCACAGCGCCTGCTCAGCCCCGAGGGAGGGGGGCCGAGCAGACCGACGGGGAGCAGACTTCTCACCCGTGGTCACCGGCGCCTTGGACTGAGCGCGTTCCACTGCCCTCCTTCCTTGCAGCCAGAGGACCTAATGAACATGCAGCACTGCAACCTCCTCTGCCTGCCCGAGAACTACCAGATGAAATACTACTTCTACCATGGCCTTTCCTGGCCCCAGGTGGGCAGCTTCTGAATTTGGGCGTGGGGGAAACCAGGCCGAGGAAAATCCAATCGGGCCATCTTGGAGGGAGTGGACAAGTCTGTCAGAGCCCAGGGGACTGTATGGTTGGTGACGTCCCTAGTGTTTTCAGCTGGCAGGCAGGGGCAAAGGAAAAGAAGGCGCCTGAAGGGAGCAGAGAATAGGGGCATCGGGCAGGATCCCCACTTTGCATCTTCTTTCTGGGCATGGGCAGGGCACAGTGTGGCGCGGGGAAGACCAAGTCACCCAGCCTGGAGGTCATGAGCCATCACACAACTGGCCACTTGTCCAGCTTGTGTCCCTCTAAAGGGCTCCTCCAGCTCCAACATGAAGTTTTCTCACTCCCTTTTCCTCTCTGTCACCAGCTCTCTTACATTGCTGAGGACGAGAATGGGAAGATTGTGGGGTATGTCCTGGCCAAAATGTGAGTCACCAAGGAGGAAGAGAGAAGCTACACGTGTCTGGTGGATGCCTCTGTGGGCTGTAAAAAAATGAATAGGCTCTTTCTTTTCAGTACAGTTGAAAGTTTATAGAAAAATTGAACAGAAAGGACATGGAGTTCCATAGAACCCCTCAGCATTCCCTCCCTGCCAGTTTCCTCTATTAGTAGCATGTTGGATTTGTGTGGTCCACTTGTGACAAGTGATAAACTAATGTGATATATTACTATTATTATTATTATTTTTTTTTTTTTTTGAGACAGAGTCTTGCTCTGTTGCCCAGGCTGGAGTGCAGTGGCGTGATCTTGGCTCACTGCAAGCTCCACCTCCTGGGTTCAAGTGATTCTCCTGCCTCAGCCTTCCTAGTAGTTGGGATTACAGGCATGTGACACCACACCTGGCTAATTTTTTAATTTTTTTAGTAGAGATGGGGTTTCACTATGTTGGCCAGGCTGGTCTCGAACTCCTGACCTCAGGTGTTCCACCCACCTCGGCCTCCCAAAGTGCTAGGATCACAGGCGTTAGCTACTGCACCCAGCCGATATATTAATATTAACTAAACCCCCCTGCACTTCTCTTTGTGTTGTAAGCCCCATGGTTTTGACCAAATGATATGTGTCCACCTTTATATTATCACAGGATAGTTTCACTGTGTTCCACGCATTTATCCCTTCCTCTCCTTAACCCCTGGCAACCACTGATTTTTTACTGTCTGCATAGTTTTTGCCTTTTCCAGGATGTCATAGAATTGGAATCATACTGTATACAGCCTTTTCAGACTGGGTTTTTTTCACTTAGTAGTGCACATTTAAGCTTCTGCCTTGTCTTTGCGTGGGTTGACAGCTCATTTCTTTTTTTATTTTTATTTTTTGAGATAGGGTCTTGCTCTGTTGCCCAGGCTGGAGTGCAGTGGCATGATCATGGCTCACTGCAGCCTCAACCTCCCAGGCTCAAGTGATCCTCTCACCTCTGCCTCCCAAGTAGCTGAGACCACAGGCATGCGCCACCACACCCAGCTAATTTTTTGATTTTTTTTTTTTTTTTGTAGAGACAAAAAAAGTGTTGTCCAGGCTGGTCTCGAACTCCTGGGCTCAAGCAATCCTCTTGACCCGGCCTGCCGAGTAGCTGGAACTATAGGCGTGTGCCCCATACCTGGCAGGCATGGGGTTTTCAGGCAGTAGAGGGTGGCAGGATCGGCTGCTCTGATCCAAGAGGCTCCTGGCTCTCCCCCAGCTGGGGTCTTAGGGGGCTGTAGGGCCAGCCTAGAATTTGCATATCCACTTTACAGATGACGGGGCGTGGGGGTGACTGTGCCTACACTGAGCTGCTTTGCAGCCTCTGCTTTCTCCCTCTCCAGGGAAGAGGACCCAGATGATGTACCCCATGGACATATCACTTCATTGGTATGTAAGCTTCACCCAGGCTCTCTGGTGGGGGTGGAAGTGGGGTTAGTTGAGGCAGCCCCCAAGGTCCCAGTCCTTCACCCGCTCTCTGCTCTTCTCCTACCAGGCTGTGAAGCGTTCCCACCGGCGCCTTGGTCTGGCTCAGAAACTGATGGACCAGGCCTCTCGAGCCATGATAGAGAACTTCAATGCCAAATACGTCTCCCTGCACGTCAGGAAGAGGTGGAAGCCGGGCTGAGGGAAGGGGGATTGAGGGGGAGAGATACTGCCTTGATGGGGGTCCTGGGGTACCTCGGCTTTTGGTGAAGATCCAGGAAGTGGGATTGGGGTGAAGGAGGGACCAAGAGGAGGGGCAGGCACTGGACGTGCTACCCCTCCCTGGCCATGTCTGTGCAGCTCAGCAGTGCCTTGTTCCCCTGCAGTAACCGGGCCGCCCTGCACCTCTATTCCAACACCCTCAACTTTCAGTAAGTAGATCTCGAGTTTTCTCGTGGGCTGGGGTTGGCCCCAGGTCTGGCCCATCAGGGCACCTGAGACTGGCTGAGTTGCCTTCCAGGCTAGGGGTGGGCCGGATATGGGGAGGACGCTGTGGACCCCAGTGCTGCCAGGATGCCTCCACATTCACTCGGTGGCTGATGGTTGAAAAGCCGGCATGGAGGCAGCACCTGCCTGCTGGAACGTGCTCTATGTGTGTTGTGATGGAGGAGCTCTGGCCCATGCTGGCAGAGGCTGGTGAAGGGCACACGGGCTGTTTAGTAATGTTTGGGAATAAAGAGGTGTGGGTCCCTGGCGTGAGCAGATCATAGCATGGCCAAGCACCTGGAAGAATCCAAGAGAGAGCAGAATCAAGGAGAATGCACGTTCAGGAAGGAAGGACCGGCGGCCAGGCAGCCTAGTGGATGGGGCAGGTCTGCCTGAGGACCGGGAGGCCCCGTGTGCCTAGCACAGGAGAGAGAACCTGGCAGTCAGCGTGCCCAGTAGACAGTGGAAAAAAGTGCTTGCAAGTGAAGCTGGGGTGGGCTGCCCGTGGAGGAACACTAACTGCAGTCAGGCCCTGTTTGGTAGGGGTGAAGAGGAGGGACTGTTGGGAAGGGCAGTGGCCTCTGGGCTGGATGCTGGCAAGAGGGATCTGTGACCCAGATGAGGATGTCTGGTGGGAACTGCTTTATAGCTAAGTCAACAATCCTCATGTCTTAGGCCTGGCAGGGCCAGCCTAGGCCGTTGAGTCCAGCTCCCCTTCCAGGGACATGGCCACCCGAGTCTGCACACATGCCTCCCCAGTGCAGGCATGGCCCCTGAGCTGCTTAGGCAGGGCCCGTGCTGCCTAGGGATGACTCCCCTCAACAGAGCTCACTGTCTCTCCTGGCTTCTGACGGCTGTTGTGAGGCAGCTCAGTAAGGGACAGGACACAGGGCAGGGAGGGAAGGGGAAGGCTGAATTCAGGACTTCAGCTCACAAGAAACCACAGAAATGAATCCTTAGTAGCCAGGCTAAGGACACAGAACGGGGGCAGGACAGGGGTGGGGTGGGCCGCTGTTTCCTGGAGCCTTTGCTGGAGAGAACAGAGGGCAGGTCACACTGGACTTGCTGTCTCAGGAAGGAGCCTTCAGGGAGAAAACATGGCATCTTGCTCCAGTAGCCATGATACCAGGAGTGGAGGAGGGTGTCCCCCAGGTATGGGTCTTCCTCCTTGCTCTCTACCCTCTGCCCCCAGGATCAGTGAAGTGGAGCCCAAATACTATGCAGATGGGGAGGATGCCTATGCCATGAAGCGAGACCTCACTCAGATGGCCGACGAGGTAAGAACCTGCATGAAGCCAAGCCAGGCAAGCGGGGGTGGCATTGGGGAGCCCCGAGACAGTGGCTGGAGGTGCGACCAACTTTGAATGCCAGCCCTTGTGGCTACGTTGCCAGGAGTCACAACCTCAGTTTCCTAGGTTGGGCTTTAGAGGAGGCCGTCTGCCTAGCAGCCTGGAGGGTGATGGGAGAGGCAGAGGGAGGAGGCTTTTAGAAGGGAAGTGGGGAGGCCTGGGGACCAGTGGGTGGCCTGCCTGCTCAGAGGTAGTTCTGAGTCAGGGTTCTGCCCCAGGCTCCTTGGGTGGCAGGGCTGGTCAAGGGGCAACGCTGTGTCGTGGGGGTCTCCATGGTAGTCAGTGAGCCCAGGTAGCAGTGGACTGGGGCTCCAGCCAGGTGTCCACACTCAGTCCCACGTGTCCTGCCTAGCCCTGCTGCCTCACTATGCCCCTCTCCTCAGCCAGCGACAGGGCCAGGCTCCCTTTGTCTGGAAACTTAGGCCCCATCTCTTTACCTCCTGCTTCTCCCTGGGTTCCTGGTGGCAGCTGAGGCGGCACCTGGAGCTGAAGGAGAAGGGCAGGCACGTGGTGCTGGGTGCCATCGAGAACAAGGTGGAGAGCAAAGGCAATTCACCTCCGAGCTCAGGAGAGGCCTGTCGCGAGGAGAAGGGCCTGGCTGCCGAGGATAGTGGTGGGGACAGCAAGGACCTCAGCGAGGTCAGCGAGACCACAGAGAGCACAGATGTCAAGGACAGCTCAGAGGCCTCCGACTCGGCCTCCTAGAGCCTGCCCCATCCCTTCCTCACCCCACGAGCTTTCACAATAAATTCGCTCCGTGGCACTGGGGAACTTCGTGTGTGTGCGTGTGCACATTTAGAGGGTGTGTTTCTCCAGGTCCTCTGGTGGGGAGGTGAGCCTCAGCCTTTTGACCCAGAGCATCCTGCCAGTCCGAATAGAAGGGAAGAGCTTTGGAGGTGGGACTCCCCAGTCTCATGGCCTTCAGCAGCTGTGGCCCTGGGAAGGAGGCCCTGGGCTTAGGGAGAGACCCTGCCTTGGAGGTCTGCTTGGCTACGCTGAATGTGTTTTGTGGCACAAGCCTGGGCCGCTTAGGCTCAAAGCTCAACAGCAGGGCTCCCACTCTTGGTGGCCTTCAGTTCTCCTCCCATCTTCACCTTCAGACCTTTTCTCTCCCTAATCACACCTGCTTTGGGCTACAACAGCTCTGCGGCATACCCGTGGGCTCCAGATGTGGACATCTGACTGCTCATTGGGCTTATCTACAGCTGTCCTGAGTAATGACCCAGCCAGACGCCCTGTCAACGGTCCTTGAGTCCTCCCTTCCCTGCCACCCTAATGGTCAGCGAGTCCATGATACCTCTTGAGTCTACTCCCTGAGTTTGCATTTGAAATAATTTATTTTTAGTACAATCCCCCCCGTTTCCCCTATTGACATTTTGTATTAGTTGGTGTATTTGTTATTGTTGATGAGCTAATACTGATAAGTTATTGTAAACTAGCCCATGGTTTACATTAGGTTTCCTGTCTGTATTGTACAGTTTCTATGGGGTTACACAAATACATAAAGCCATGTATTCCCTCAAAATAATTTCATGCAGAATACAAAACTGGGCGGCTGTTGGGTGCGGTGGCTCATGCCTGTAATCACAGCACTTTGGGAGGCCGAGGTGGGCGGATCACTTTAGCTCAGGAGTTGGAGACCAGCCTGGGCAGCATGGCGAAACCCCATCTCTACTAAAAATAGAAAACCGGGTGT